TATGCATTAACAAACTAGTGAGAAGAGGGACATAGACCTGATCAGGCGGCCCAAAAAGACAACATCGGCATTTCTTTTCTAGTTTTCTTTCCCCACGGCCCTCGGATAGAGAGGAGACGAGGAGTCACGCTGCACACAGCATATTCTGATCGTGAGTTCGCGACGTGCGCCTTACACACGCAGAGCTAGCGAGCCGCGCTGCCGCGAAGAGCTAGACTACCAGAGACACGGACACGACGCACGAGGACAGCGACCAGGTAGGGCTCCACGACGATGACATCTTGATTCTTGGCTTATTATGAATTGCGATCACTGATCAGTTGTTTAGACCCAAGGTTTTTTTTTCCTTTTTATTTTTAATCCAAATTAATTATTTGTATAGTATTTCAGACTCCCAGTACTTGGTATCTATATAGTCATATTTTTCATCTAATTTATGTGTTAGAATTTTAGAATGTTACCTAAGAAACATTTGCTATGGGTGTGAAAAGAAAATGAATATATTACTTTTTTAATCTACATCGTTCTTCGATAATTATCATACATCTACAAATATATTGCTTAATCTACATTATTTCTCGATAATTATCAGACATGTTAAATTAAAAACATGTTATTGAATTTACTTTCGTTTTGCAAGTAAAATTAGCACCTATATATTATAAAATTTTATGCATGATCAAGAGGGACCGTTAGATCGCCATAGGGCCCTCGAATCGTAGAACCGGCACTGATCATCCAACCCAATCTTATCATTAATTTCTGACAGACTTTGCTTATAATTTGGAGGGTGTACTAGCTAGCTAGTTTCGGTACGAAGCCAGGAACAAAAGTGGGTGAAAGCGAGAGCGTCTTTATTTGTTTCTGTCGTCTGTGCTCAATTGCCGACCGGCCAGTGCACACAATTCAGAAATCACCATGCATGCTCACCTCTCTCAACAAATACATTTTTGTTTTTTCGAAGATTCCACAAATATAATTGGAGACCTGTCGTCCTGGGTGCTTCAACTCGTTACAGGACAACTCCATTACCTGAATTATTCCCGGGGGTGTCTGTCCAACAATAAGAATATAATAATTCCAATTTTGGGACAGAAATGTATATATATATACATGGTTAATAGAAAGAGTATTGATGAATTATTGTTGCTGAGTAGTTTTTTTTTTTTGTCAAAGGATTGTCGTAACATAATAACCAAAATCAGGCATAGTACAATTGCATACGCATGGACAGAGTATTGTTGAATAACGTTGGTTGCATGTAACACTCTGACCAGATGATTATTAAACTTTTTCTCTCGAACATATACGTAGGAGAGCTGCGTATCATTATATGAAGAAGAGAATAAAACACGAGAAAAAGATCCCTTACAAAAAAAACCACACAAACCCATACAAAGACCTAGATATAAAAACAACAAACACGCCCTTCTCGGCAATAGACCGACCACAACCGCAAAATATACACACGCCGCCGGTCAACCTTCCTCCGGCACTAGGGCCAAGAGAAAGTTAACAGCTTGTGCTCAAGCCAAACACCAAAAATGTAAATCCTCCAATTAAAGCTACCAACACAGCTCAGACCACACTAAGGGAAACCCCATAAAAAACACACCAATTGCGATACAGTAATGCTAGCAAGCGGGCGTCCGGCTGATTCGACGCTCACGGGCCCACCAACAAAGAAATATCAGGTGTTGTATTCTTATCCACTCCCAACTGCATATTCTATTCGGCATCTCTCCCTCCTCTCTATTCTGCATCTCTCTCTGGCAACGACCTCAAGGCTCTTCAAGTGGCTTGTCTCCGCCATCTCGTGCGGCACTTCGGCAACGCCCCCTTCCCGCTCATATCGTCACCCCCACCCTGCCCTCGTCGCCCCCACGTGCTCCCCTAACCCCTTCTCTCTCTTCGCATAGGCAGGACCCAACATCCGGGAGCCAGGATGAGCGGCTGAGGATGATGATTGCGCGCAGAGCCACGCTGCAGGAGGCCACGTTAGCAACACCGGCCGCCTCAAGTACTGCATGCAGTGGGGCACGCCTTGCCCTAGCTCACTGAGCTCAACCATGTGGAGTTCCACCGCACCGCCTGCCCGCTCGAACTCGTCGCACCGTCGCGGGTGCCTCCATCAGTCTACCATGGCCGCCTCCACTACGCCAATTTGTCGCGCCGCCCGCCAAGACTCATCCCGACTACTGCTGGCGCTTCCACCATGCCAGTTTGCCACGCCTCCTGCCTAGATTCGCCCAAGTAGCAATGAGATGTTGCACTGGAAGCACATGTGCAAACGTATGTTTCAAGTGTTTCAGAGGTATGTTGCAAGTGCTTTATATCAGTGTTGCCAAAGTAGATCGGGATGTTGTACACGTTGCAATGGCTATACACGTATGTTGCAAGTGCCTGTTCAACATGTTTCATGTGTTTCAGACACATATTGCAAGTTTTTCATCTGAATGTTGCGAAAGCAGATCTAGATGTTGCATATACATGCATGTTGCAAGCGTATGTTTCAAGTATTTCGGTGTTCCATATGTATGTTGCAAGTGTTTCGTCTGGATGTTGCATATGTTTTGCAATGTCTACACACGTGTTTTCCTAGTGTTTCAGACGTATGTTGCAAGTGTTTTAGCTGTTTTCATATGTATGCCTCAAGTGTTTATTCTGGATGTTGCAAAAGTAGATCTGATATTGCACTTGTTGCAATGGTATGTATCCACCTGCCGCAGCCGCCTACTGCAGCTGCTGGGCGCCGCCGTGGTCACGTGTGGGCTCCTGAGGCCGGTAGACGCACATCCACAGGCGGGGCAGGTGACTGGGACTCACGTGGTGCCGGTCCTGAAGCAGAGCAGGCACGAGTAGCTCCCCAGACCCTAGGTGCATTCGTGCGGGGAAAGGAGCAGCACAGGAAACAGATCGAGCGGCGTGGAGCGGTCCCGTCTTTGTGAGGGAATCCCATGTACACGTGGGTGTCCAGACGCAGGTGTCAGTCCGGATGTCTGGGCGCTAGCCTATCCGATTGCGATATGCTTCCAGAGAGTCCAAGCCCCTAAAATAACAAGGGAATTAAGGCCCGTTTGAATAAGATCAACCGCCTCACAGGAAATTCTATCCCACCGGTCATCAAAATAAGCATCTTCCATTTGAGGACATAGGTGCTGCAGACCAACCCTTTGCATGAGGGAGAACCAGAATTCTCGAGCAAACAGGCATGACAACAATAGGTGGTTGATGTTTTCCTCATCCTGATCATAATGGGGGCAAGTAGTAGGATGTTGAAGGCTACATCTTGCAAGTTGGTCCGTTGTCGAACATATGTTTCTAGCAACCAACCACATGAAGAAATGGCACTTTCTAGGTGTTGATTACTACACTGCCCTTAGTACAAGAGGTTTGGATCCTAATCCTATAGAAAAAGAGTGAGTCAGTCCATGGTGGCAAGCCTACAACGCCCCTGACATGTGGGCCACGTCGCCCTAGCCTCCCTCCTCTGCCACTTCTCCATCCCCACCAACCCACCATGGTGACAGGGCCATGTCTATCTATAACTTAGGCCTTGTTCAGTATGGATCTTGGGGGCTCTGGCTCCTCCTCCCAATCATTGTAGTGCTACGATTTGTTATTGTAGTATGGAGTCGTTTTGTTTTTGAGGTGAAAAATGAATTGAGGAAGAGGAGAGACCGGCAAAGCCACAATTTCTACCTCCACCAGCTCCGGCTCCGTTGTGCTACAGTGGTAGAGCCGGAGTGGCCGGAACGGCCCCTTATGAAGCTCCATGCATGGCAATTCCTTCCTGAGGTTAATACATGCATTGCGATTGCAATATTCGCGCTATACCTTCCTAGGAGAAATGTAACTGATGGTGTAGTGGTGGACTCACTTGTGGTGGTCATTGTATGGTCGCTTTCATTGTGTGGGTAGGTCATAGGTATTTGTTTATGGTCGCTTTCATTGTGTGGATAGATGTTTATTGTTGTCAGTCTTGTATGTTAAATTGTTTATTTTATGTATTTTATTTTCTTATTAATTCATATGTGGATAGACATTTAACCTACTGTTTTTAAAAATAAAAAATAAACGCCATTCAGTTTTAAAATATGATGACATAATAGAAGATGAGATGGATTATTTTGTTCCTTACAACAACAAATAAAGAAAAGACTGAGTGCACCTGATCGACAGATCAAGTGAGTTGTCTTGGATTAGAAGCAGCATGTGATGCTAATGTTCAGAGATTTCTCATTTCAAAAAAAATAAAAAAAATCAAAGATTAAGATTCAGAGTCAAGGCTCGAGCCTCGAGGGGCAGAGAGCGAAAATCTTTGGGTGGCCGATTGCAACATTCGTACACAACATACATTTGAGATGGGCATGAACCAATGTCACTCTATTCTTGGGTACTTACAACTTACTTACTTCATAAAAAAAAGAATACAATTCATGCTTTTATGGTACCGAATAAATGTTATGACAACAAATATGGAATATATTTTCATAGTATACATATCTAGATTCATATATAAATATTAACAATATTTTCTTTAAACTTAGTTAAAATTTAAAACCAAAGAATTTTTGTTTGAATGATCTAATAAACCTACAATTTCAGGACGAAGCCAGCCAGCAGTTAAAATATTATTGCTTTGCTTGCTCGCGTGTGTCAGGACGTGGCAGTCCCTAAACTATTAGCATTGCTAGTTTCAGTACGAAGCCAAAAACAAAAGCGGCAGAGAGCGAGAATGTCTTGCTTCTGTCTGTTGGCAGCTGCAGACCGCCGGTGCACAGATTTCAGAAACAATATTGGACTAGCCCTGCCTTCAATTACTTGAATTGCTTCTGTTTAATTGTTTTTGTTGTGTGTTGGTTGCCACATCGTTTACTTTACAGTTTACACACATCTGTTCAATTGTCTCTGGCACGAGGTCCCTCGCCCTCCTCTGCCAGTCCTCCCTCCCTGCCTCCCCCACCGCTTCTGGCGCCATTTTGCCTACTTAAAGCACCATGGCGTTGGCGTTCTTCCTCAGCGAGCGCTCACACTGCTGCCACAGCACTGCGCGCTTGAGCGAGCTTCTTGGTCTTCAGGTGACACGCGGTGTTCTTGGCCGAGCTCACGGTGTATGCTGAAATGCCTAACAGAAACTGCATTTCAGTTTTCGAACAACTGCATTTCATCTTCTGTTGAGGATTTATCCTTTATGCATGCGGTTGATAACCTTACTGAGCTCGCGTTTGATTGGATTGGCATGCACAGCACAGGTGCGCTCATGGGTTCCAAGCAAGTCTACTCCTGCGCCATCCTCTGCTCCTTCCTTCTCTTCTCGGTGGTGACCTGCAGAGGTGCTGCGACAGAACATGGATGGACGCAATCGGCAACGCTTGATGTTGATGCTTCCTGGTGGTTCCGAAGGGAAATCCCTAAAACGTTATTTGGACTGTTCTTTGAGGTGAGACCTTGCTTCTTCAGTTTCCTGTCAGTTCAGTTCAATCCACCCATTTCTGCATTTCTTGCAACAAAAGATCTTATGCTTTAGAAATTGGAGACCCGGTGAATATACAAGTTAGTCAACCCAGGAGATATAGTTAGCTTCTCATGTTTTTTTTTATTATTTTACGCTTACAAGGAATAATTAGTATGGCATCTGAGGTTCTAGGCTCCTAGCATTTGTTCACTCTGCAGTCTGCAGTGCACTCATTTAACTACATAGTGACATTTGATGTTCATGTCCATGTTTTCGCACATCTTATATCAAATTTTCTTTCTTTCATGAATGTCATGGAATTTTATCTTCCCTTGCATGCTGGAACAAAGAAGCAGTCAAAAACTACTTGTGCTTGTGCACAACAGTTTTTCCAATTTTCACTGAGCGAAAAAAAAATCATGATATTCAAGATTATCCTCTATCAATTCGTGATAATTAAATCAGTGAATATTATAGGAGATCAACCATGCTGGAGCCGGTGGAATCTGGGAGGAGCTTGTTAGCAACAGAGGTACTACTATTACTCTTAGCTTTTATATATGCTTCAGGGAAAAATTCCCTGTCAAAGTGACCCAGGCAAATTTGATCAGGTCTCTGATTTGGTTGCTCCAAGGGAATTAATAGATAGGTTCAAATCTTGGCTGCGAATCTAGAGTTTGTGCTGATTAAATTTTGTGCAGCACCTTGTCAGCACTCATGAAGATATATCCAAAATGTCCCTTATATTAGTGATTCATACATGCTGATGTTTACTGAATAGAAGTAAAAATTAAATTGATCCACTTGTGCAAGTTCTACACATAACATGTCTTTCATATAAGAACAATTCTAGACAAGGTTATGTTAATAGGGCTATTTATCCTCATTCTTTATGCTGCTTGTTGATTAACTCAGTTCTGTTGCTTAACTAAATACACTGAAGTTCAGTATTAAACCGTAGAACAGTAGAAGGAAAACATTATATATATTTTCTTTTATAACTGCCACTAATATTTGAGACTTTGAGTATTAGCATTAACTCACTGTGACATAATTTGTCCTTTAGGTTTTGAAGCTGGAGGGCCCTACATCCCTTCAAACATAGACCCATGGAACATCATTGGAGATGAGTCTTCCATATACGTGACGACTGAACCTATCTCCTGTTTCGCTAGAAATATTGTTGCTCTAAGAATGGAGGTTCTCTGTGACAAGTGCCGAACTGGGGGCGTTGGCATTTACAACCCAGGATTCTGGGGCATGGTATGATAATACTTTTTTTTGAAGAAATTATGATAATATTCATGTGGATTCTTTTATGGGAAATGACAGCTTTCAGCAGCCTGTCTAATGGATAACCATCACATCCTTTGAACCAGTGCTACGATTTTTCTTCACCCATTTCCATTTTCCACTTAGGGACTTATGGTTTTATGAAGATCCTGACCATTTTATTTTACAGAACATAGAAGAGGGGAAAACCTATAATCTAGTCATGTATGTCAGATCACTAGAACCTGTGGAGTTGACAGCTTCACTCACTTGTTCAAGACCTTCACATGCATTGGAAAACCTAGCATCAGCTTCTATACAGTATGTATCTTTTCCCCAACATGGATAATATTTTTGAGTTTGTTCTTTTTTCCTTGCTAAATGATGTAATTGCATGTTGACTGTTGAAGAGATAATAACGTGTCAAACTGGACAAGGGTAGAACTGCAACTATTAGCTCATGAGACATGTAGAACTTCACGACTTGATCTAACAACTTCCAAAAGGGGAGTCATATGGTTTGATCAAGTGTCGCTCATGCCTTCAGATACATACAAGGTGCGTTTGTTTTTCCCACTCTATCTATTTTGGCTATTGGCAACCACAAATGTATTATTTCACACAGTTCATGAAGATCCACTAGTTATATACAATGAATTGTAAGAAGATACGGGCTTGCTCTGTTTTTAATTAGCAGGCATATATTCAATGGGAACCTTTTCATAATATTGTGCCATACTGCCATCAGAGTTGTTCAATCATAATTGGAAATTAGTCATGCTTAAAATCCTGAGCTCAAGACTTCACTATGCTAACCTATTAGATCAATCAGATAAACTATGTTCACTTTTGTAGAAATTTGAAATAAACTTAACCTTAATTTTCTAATGCCAGGCAATTCTTACTATGATGTTTACCTTAATTGCTAACTGATTTTTTTTCTACATGTACAGGGCCACGGTTTTCGTAAGGAGCTCATACATATGCTTCTGGATTTGAAACCACGATTCCTACGTTTTCCTGGTACTTTCTACCTTTTAGAATGATCAAAGCTAACTATGGATTGTATTAAGCGATCTTTTCGTGAACTTTGACTTTCCATTCCATTGCATTAGAAGTTGAACAAACTACTAGAATACACAACTACAGGAGGTCTATCAAAAAATGCTACTGACTCACCTAGAACAATAAAATATAACGACAACACTTTATTTCCTCTATACTGAAATGTTAGTATTTAAAGCAATCCTTCAGTTGTTCCCATATGTTCTTGAGAACACATAACTCTCACTAGAACACACAACCTAGTTAGTGCTCTAGCATGTATCCATTGAGTTGAACAAACTGAGAAATAATTATAGGCAGTGTACCCAAGAGACACTGTTTATCTTGTTGTATAGCCCAAAACATGTGTAACACAGGAATGCAGCACATTTTATAGGTAACAAAACACAGGAATGAAACACTTCCTGTACCTTTTAAGGAATAAAGTATTTTGGGAACACATTTCTTGCTTCTTTAGGGTCACATCCCAACACTTTTCAAGGGAAGTCTTGATTTATTACCAAAACAGTATAACACAAATATTTAACACTCTCAGAAGAAAAAACTTATGGTGAGTTAATCTGGAGTAGCATGTTAACAGCGAGTTAATGTAACATTCCTTTACATCCATATGGTTACCATGATGCTTCCTTCTTTATTCTTGAGTACGAGTACAGAGTCAAAATAACCATCTTCTTACATTACAATATTTATGCATCATTTTATAGGGGGTTGCTTTGTTGAAGGCGACCGGTTAAGAAATGCTTTCAGATGGAAGGAAACTATTGGACAATGGGAAGAGAGACCTGGACACTATGGAGACATTTGGAATTACTGGACCGATGATGGCCTTGGATATTTTGAGTTTCTTCAGGTAAATTTTGATTAATATCATCCAAGTTTGCCTCTTTTGGTTTCACCATAACTGATCATATGTTTGCTTCAAAATGTCCACAAAAGCTTGCAGAAGACTTGGGTGCTGCCCCTATCTGGGTCTTTAATGCTGGTAGGCAATACTTATAACTTTATATATTTTCCCATTTATCCATAATCATCAATAGCATGCCATTAATTTTGGAGATTTTATCTTAAATTTTAGGAATTAGCCACAGTGAGGGAGTTGACACCACTAGTATTGCACCTTTTGTCAAGGTAAATTTTGAACTCCCTAGATCTTTCATTGTTCAGGTGATGTAACAGAAAATTTTGCTTCTTCTTTCTTCAATTTTTTTCCTTCATCAATGAAACAAAGCAATCACTTTGTAGCAGTATATTCAATGACAGTAAATTTGGTTATATTGACAACAAAGAAACCCAATAATGACTTAATTCCCACAAATCTGAATGACATGGCCACATAATAATGTGTGACTGAACAAATATCTCAAAGAACTCACACTTTGTTAAGTATATTTTATAAGGGATGTGATTGACACAATTTTCTACTTTGCCATCCTTAATGCCACTCAATTAGCTATGATTAAGCCAAATTGCCATAATCTTTTTTAAAAGAAATAAAGACAACAAAATAAGAACTGGCTACTTGATCACCTATGCCAATGTTCTTAAAATAGTTCTTCCTTGTCTCTTTCTGTCTCATAGTCAAAGCAAATACCATGATGCCGATATGCATTTCTCAGTAATTTTAAATTCACTATTTCTCGAAATAACTTCATCTTTCCTGCAAAAGGATGTACTGGATAGTCTTGAGTTTGCCACGGGGAGTGCAGAGTCAACTTGGGGCTCTGTAAGAGCTGAGATGGGGCATCCAGAACCTTTCCCACTGAAGTATGTCGCGATTGGGAATGAAGACTGTTACAAGGAATTTTACGAAGGTAAAGTTTAATTAATTAATGTATGCAAATTATCAGTAAGTATTTAACACAACCCAGCATCTCATTTCCTGTTATCACTATGGTATCAACTTGGATCTTGCTGATACATGTTGGCATCCCAATGAAGTACAACAAAAGGAATTATAGAGCATTACAGAATGAAACCAAACCATAGAAAAACAAGACCTGTTTTCCTTAGGGCTGCCCTTTTCCTTAACTGTTTTTGTAGTCAAAAGTTACGATGTAAATCCAAATCCTTGGGAATGACCACACATGATCTACAAAATCTTAAGCTTCTCCCAAATGATTCTATTACAAACAAAGGATCACCAACGTCTCAGCACTCTGTATTATAGTCCACCTCTGCTTCTGAACTAGGATCACCAACCAAATCAGGAACCAAGAACAGCAGCGAGCTCAAACCATGCCGAAATCCCTCTGTAGCTTGTAATCCGTCATGTCAAGAAGCTGGAAAAAAAGGAAACTTACTCCTTAATTCAAGAGCTAGAGGCGGGCTTTGCGGACCCAGAAGCCGACTGCTGCGGCGGGGAAGGGATTGAGGCAGTGGAAGCGGAGGCGGCCTGCGATTCCTCGGCGGCGGAGAGCTTGCGGAGGCGGTCCTGGAGAAGGCGGACGCGGTCCTCGGTGCGGCGGAGCTTACGCCAGCGCCAGGCGAGGTAGGCGCCGAGGCCGCCGTAGACGAGGATGTAGGAGCCCCACACGTACGGGTAGGTCTGCGCGTGCTCCTTCGTCTTCCGCCACTCCTCCTCCAGCTTCGCGATCACGCCGCCTCCAGTCGCCGCTCCCGCCACTTGCTCCGGCGGCGGCGGCGTCTGTGTCTGTCCGTCTCCGGCGGCCGCCATCGGTGCTCTTGTTGGTGGGCGCTGAGCGCTTGTCTCCTGAGCAAGTGTTTTCTGAATGCACAAGCTCATAAAAACTTCTCTATAGTACTGTGCTGACTTTCTCAAGAATAGCCACTTTGTTAGTTAACAATGTTCTTTATTAATTTTACTGAGCAGGAAACTACCTCAAATTTTATAAAGCTATAAGAAAAGCCTACCCAGGCATTCAAATTATTTCAAACTGCGATGGCTCATCTCGGCCACTTCACCATCCTGCAGATCTGTATGATGTCCATGTAAGCATACTGCTTCTGATTCTGTCATTTCCCTGTAATTTTATTGACAGTTATAAAAAATATCACCTTTTTTTTTGCAGATTTACAGTAATGCTTCTTATCTTTTCAAAATGAAAAGCATGTTTGACAGGACATCACGTAAAGGGCCTAAGGTATCTTCTTGTCTTTATGGTTTATTTATGAAGTTTGGTAATAGATGACATTAAATGTTCTCTAGAGTATTTCCTTTCTTGGATCAAGCAGCCTTTTCGCTTGGTCGTAAACGATCGTGGATTATAAGTCAGAACAGTATTTTTCTCTCACACCAAACCAGCCAGCAGTAATAATCCACGATCGTTTCAGCCGAAACGAACAGGCTGAAGATTCTTTGATTCTTTATAAGATATCATTTTCCATTCTGTATTTGACACTTACATCTTTGTTTATTGAAATGCATTAAACATATTGTTGCACTTATATCATGTAGATATATGCAGTTTCCCACGAATGATGATGTGATAGCAACATTTTTTGTGCAGATGAGTTTAACTATCAAGTAGTATAAACTCTGTGTATATCAGGCCTCAAGAAGCACCGTTGGGCGTAGTTCTTTTTCTTATTGGGGTCATCAGATTTAGACAGTGGGTAAATTGACTCTGATATGTTCATATTCAGGTGTTTGTCAGTGAATATGCAGTTACCGAACCGAAGGATGCTGGTAACGGAAGTCTCCTTGCTTCACTGGCAGAGGCTGCATTCCTCATAGGAGTAGAAAAGAACAGGTGATCTAAAAATGTCCAGAGATTACAAGAGGAATTATATTTAAGTATCCTTATAGATATTGACAGAGGTAGAAACATTTTCTTCTTGTGGGTTAATGAGAGGGCTCTGTGTGATGCTTCTTTGCAGTGACATCGTCCAGATGGCATGTTACGCCCCACTCTTCGTCAATAACAACCAACCTGGGTCAGTATTGCTGAGCTTCATGCTTTTGCTCGCCCTAGCCTTCTTAAGTTTGTAAAGCTTTTTAAGTGATTATGTCTGAAACTTTTGTATCAGCTGGAAATGGATCCCAGACGCGATAGTCTTCAACTCGTGGCAACGGTACGGAACTCCGAGTTACTGGATGCAGACATTTTTCCGCGAATCAAGCGGTGCTGAGTTTCATCCAGTTAAAATCACATCCAGATACTCCAATTCATTGGCAGCATCTGCAATTATCTGGAGGGACACTGACAATAGCTTCCTGAGGGTAAAGGTAAAACCAACAGATCCTTCTCCCTGTAGCCTATGTGTGGTTGATTTAACACATTTTACAACCGCTGTCATTTTGGAACTTTGAAATGACCAAATCCCTGTAATATCGCTGTGTTTGCAGATCGTAAACTTTGGACCTCATGCTGTGAACCTGACAATACGTGCACATCAACTTCGAACCACTGTCGATGCAAGGGGATCAAGAGTCACTGTTCTGACATCTAGCGATGTGAAGCATGAAAACTCGTTCAGAAACCCACGTAATGTAAGAGGATGACTGCTGTTCACATGCTTTTTTTCCCCCCTATTGCTACCTTTTTTACACAAGCTCTGAATCTGTCAACTGAAATGTGGCATGTCAATGCGCATTTTGCTGATCTTTGCATTGCACACCTACACTCTGGCATCTCTGAATCAGTTTGCAGGAATTGGTCACGTTACATTACATGTAATAAACAACACACCATTCTGATGTTGCAGCAGGCTCATCTAACATTGAACTTGCAAAAATATGCAGGTGGTGCCGGTTACCAGAGGGTTGCCTAATGCAGGAGAAGAGATGCAGGCCTTGCTTGCTCCTTACTCGTTTACTTCTTTCGACTTAGCTCTGGAGGAATACGTACGTGTGGCAGAGATGTGAAGTAATATTATACAACAGAGTTTGCAAAATAAGTTGTCTCAATGAAGTATAATCGTACAAACTAGGGGGCGGTCTGTGTTATGTATCTGCCTATCAGGGCTCATGTTATCTTTCTGAGACTGAAACGATTCTACGGATGAATAAGTGTTAATGGTGGTTCAATGATTTCTTTTTCTTTTACTCTGCTTTTAAAAGGACGTACCTAGTGCAGAGAGCTCCCGCTCTATGCGGGGTAGTGGCAAATTGAATTCTAGTTTCTCATGGGTATCCAACTCAAATGCCGAATCCAGATATCCATAGATCCGTAGACGTTGTAACTGAATCTGCAGTTATTATTCTTAGAATCTTAGTTGTCTGCATAGGTGATTGGACTGCTGGTTCTTTTAGGCTGCACGGTGAATCCATATGTGATGCAAGTGCAAGATTTCTGCTGGGGGATGTGGCTCGCCAGAACCAGCTCAGGCAACTTACGAAATTCCCATGCTAGAATTTGGCCACAAATGCCCAAGATAAATTATGCACACAGTCCAGACACAGACATTGCAAATACTATCCATGTATGGACAAAAGAAAAACTGGTAAAATTAACATAAGTGTACATACAGATCAAATCAAATACATCTGGAGACGAATGCATCCCATAGGCATCATTTCTCAAGTCACAATGTTTACATACATGGGATGCACTTCATGCTTTGCTTTTCTCCTAGGCGCATTGAAACGTTCAGTCTTCCAAGGCACCAACAATAATTGAAACATTCAGTCCTGAACCAGTGAGGTGCTACACTAAACAATGAAAGAAAACTAAATTTAGATTGTCTACAGCAGGCAACACAAATATCCAATCAGAGGTAACTGAAAGATTCAGACTGCTGGAGGAAACTTACATTGGAGTCAATGAGAACGAAGTATCAGTGGATATGTACAGCACCAACCACTACTTCAACACTGCATGTGCAGTCGGAACCCCATGTGTGAACAAAAAGTAGGAAGCTAAGGATGTCATTGTATTAGAATTATATGTGCAGGATTCCCAGATATCTCACCACAGAAAGCAAAGGTCCCTGCTTAAATTTGCTATGAAAACCAAAAGCGAGTGGCTTTGCTCCTTCTCCAGGTCCCCGAATGAATCCACTACATATGAAGACAGGAATTTCAACAAATTAATGATCAAGGAATGTCACTGGAACACAGTTTTACGCTAAAAAAGAATGGTCACAGTAAATCAGAAGATTCTGTTCTTACACTAGTGATAGTGAGATAAGTGGAGATCTCCGCACATCATATACAGCAATCAGGCCACGGTACATTTCATTTCCATCTTTGAACGACAATGCCAGACGTTCCCCTGAAGCATCCCATGCTAATTTCTCTATGCCTCGGCTATATGAAGTAGTTAAAGCATAAATTAGTGAATGGAAGTAAGATTTTAGGCTGTTATAATAGATGAAATTCCTAAATACAAAGTGTATACTAAATCTATACTAAATGAAATAATGCAGTGCTTGTTGGCAAATAGCAGATTCTGAGACAAAATTTTATGAAAACTAAATGTTTTTAGGCTTCTGTTGTTTGATGTGAGCTTTCTTTCCTTAGTCCTTACAATCCTACAAACATATGGTCCTATGTTTTATTAATCAATAATGACTTCTGAGCTGATTCCCTTCACAAAAGTTACATCAGAAATAAATTACTCATTAATTGTGAATGGGGTTACTTGAAAAATCAACAGCCAAAATTAGCATACAAGAGGAGGAAAAAATTATGTAGTATAAAGTGTGCATGAGATCAAATGTCACAGTAATGCCTCTGTTGTTACCTAACAATCAGGGAGGAAACTTCTGGAAGTTCAACTGGTAGGAGGTGGGCATCTGAAGATAAAAAGCATAAAACAAACTATCAGACGACAAATATAACAAGCTTTAGCAACATAATATTTGGATGGTTGCCCTTATATACCTAAGGATGGTGGCTTAGATGAGAAGTGAATTGAGCCGAGTGTCATCGAGTTAGAAAAGGATAACAATGCAACACGACCTTCTGGGTCCCAATTTGCCCCCTGACAGGAACCCAATAAGAATAAGCAAAAATGAGAAGAATTTTAGAATCATCCACTATATGGTTTGCTGTAGAACCCAATTTGCTCCCTAACAGGAACCCAATGACTTATACAGGGCCAGTGGACACATTAGGTGTGCTGTGGCCAAACACAGTATCGTGCTCACTGTTCAAGAAAAAAAAAGAGTATTGTGCCTCACTTCTTCACTAAAGAGTATTGTGCAGTTATGCTCCAGCGTAAAGACAATAATAGAAATATAGAATTGCAATGCAAAAAAAAATGATGTCATATTTTCCAAAAGCAGGTATTTGTGACTGAATAGTGAAGATATTACTTACAAACACATATCCGTTAGACGAAGACCAGGGTTCTGAAGTCCATGTGTTCGTCTCCCAGAAGTGAAATGTACCATCACTAGCAATAAATGAATTTTGTAAATCTTTGGAAATATCGTTGACAAGAAATGAAAATGAAAATTCAAAATTGACCTTACAATTTAGCAGCTAGAAGGTAATCTCCACTGGGTGACCACCGCACTCATGATATATTGCTTAAGCCACGCTGTATAGGAGTTCCCAACCCTGAAGCAAAAGAAAGGTGTCAAGATTATTGTCAACAATTCTGTACAAATGGGATTGACTGCCTGTATTGACAAAAAAGACCGGTATATGTACCTTGAGACACATCCCAAATAGTGAAAGATGGACTATTACATGAGGCAGATGCCAAGTATGTGGAGAATAGTCAAAGGACATACCCAGTGCAGAGAGCTCCCGCTCTGTGCGGGGTCTGGGGAAGGGTGTTAGTGGCAAGCCTTACCCTCGCCTGTGCAATGCGAGGAGACCGCGACTCGAACCTGGGACCTTCCGGTCACATGCGGTAAGACTCTACCGCTTGCACCAGGCCCGCCCTTCTATGTGGAGAATAGTCAAGGAAAAAAAATGCCTTCAGCTGTTGGTTTCCAACAAATAATGACTAAACCTACTGTAAACATTTCTGTATGTATTGTGCTGTAAATTTGGCAAAAAAAAAAATGGACTTTTTGCAGTTAGCCACACTGTATTTTAGTTATTTTACAGTTCAAAAACAAGAGATGCGGTGAGCAGCCAAGGCTAAAGACCTATAAACTCTTTTCTATGGCCTCCTGCCTCACTTATTAGGTCGGTTTCCATTTGTTCCAGTGGCATGCCTGGTTTGTGCATAATGGGTTTGGATGTTTGCGTTCTGTCGAGTGAGTGGTGCTGTACATTTGGGTTCTCTTTCTTGTTAATGAAATGATACATGGGTCTCTTGTGAGTTCAAGAAAAAAAAAAGAGAGATGAAAAGCAGCAGCAACATTCACCCGATGCTACTATGAAAACTTATCAAGGATATCTCCCATCAGGTTTCCAACAAAGTGCACTAACGAGCTCAGCAGAAGAGCCACGAAGAACATCCACCAGTATCCACTGACCACCAGAACCTCTAGGGAAGGCACTACAGGAAGAAGAGGTGATGCCAGGTTTCATGAACGGAACATTGCCAGGATATGATGCCGACCAGAGGCATATCCCTCCCCTGAAAAGAAAATGATGAACTCAATCTAAAAGTAAAGTATGCCATCAAATTATTCAGAGACAACAAGGGTTGACTCAAGTTAAATGGAGAGGTGGTAGTAGTACACACTTGCAGGCAACTGCAATCATCTTCCCACTATTTGGTCTCCACTCAACAGCCTTAACATCCGTTTGATGATCCCTTGTTAAAATGCATGGTTCTTTAGCATCTGTTAGATAGATCAGCCATTGTTATGTAGTGCAACTAAGTTGACGGATAGGGTTCAGTTCATAAACTAATAAAACATAGCAAAGCAGGCACTAGGCTGATCTTACCTGAATCCTCAAAGTCTTGGACAGCAACCTGGTTCTTCCCAGACACAAATGCTAAGCAATGCTTGTATGGATTCCAACTTACTTTCTGGGAGTCAAATTCTTCAAGCAAATTTGGCTGATAAACAAGAATGATCGAATTTGAGTACAATTGTAATGATTTCGTACAAAAGAATCACACAGAAAATGTACAAGTAGGAAGCAAATCTAGGGTGTTCATCTCAAGAACAATAGCTGGAGGATACAAATTTTTAGAAAGTATGCTGGATGAATCAGTAACTGGAGTTTTGATATAACATCACACTTCAAGTTGTGTTGAGCTGTGCTTTTGCAATCTGAGTAACCTTGTTACCTCCTGAATCATGAAATAAGTAATCTTACTATGTTAAAACAATTCAACATAGATCAGATCATGAAAGCACACTGTGGCACTAGGGAAGTGAGAAGCAGACAATGCATTCACCTCTGGGCAGGGAGTTTACTTACACGCCCATGTATTTGTATGTATAAGCATCGGCAATTCACAAAAGATGTGATAAAACTCTGGAATTCTCTTATCTACACACATGCAAGTGGTTTAAGTACGCGGGCATTTCTCGGAACAAATATGACGAACATTAAATTGTAGCAACTCAGATAGGACAATCCAATGTGAACATCATTTTAGTAACTCAAATTCTTTTAGCAGATTTGGCTGGCAAACCAGAACGGTCGAATGTGAGTGTCATTGTAATGAGTTTTATTTACTCAAAAATTTCACATTGAGCGTAAGTGATTCAGATAGGACGATCAAACTCACATCTAGTGGAGGGAAGACCATCCGCCTGAAGAACTCGGATATGCTGGCCGCCAAACCAGGGGCGGGGGCAGTCTCAGCAGGCTCGACTTGGTCTGTAGCAGGAGCAGCAGGCTCGCGGCTGGGGAGAAGAGCCTCCGGCTGGAACGGAATCGGGGCGAACACCATCCCCTGCAACGACGGCCAACAATGTCCAAATTTGAGCCCCTCGTCAGGCAGATAAGCGCAACGCGGTTCACAGATGAAGAGTAAGTGCGAGGAGTTGAGGGGAGCGGACTAACGAGGACATCCCCGTAGGCGTCCTTGGATATTGATATGGTCTATATGAAAGTTATAGTTCTCAATACGATCTACAACTTTGTAGTTGAAAAGTTTTTTGTTTAAAGTCATTTAGTGTCCCAAAATTTAATTTTAAATTTCAAATTTCAAAATCTATAAACATACAATAATATTTTGGGACCCTAAACAGTTTTAGTTCAAAAACTTTTCAACTACAAAGTCGTAGATCGCGTCGAGGGCTTCAATTTTGATATAAAGTTTGTCTTCATTCGAGTTCATATGAAAAAGTTATGAATTATTTTTGATATAAAGTTTCTAGATCACCCTGTTTTGACCCAGATGAGACTCAAAGCCAAGTTTAGAGACCGGGATGACACAACCGAACAAGTTTAGGGACCGAGATAACACAGATGAACAAGTTTGAGGACCTAAACGGTCGATTTGCGAGTTTAGGGACCGGGATGACACAACGGTACAAGTTTAGGGACCGTTGGTGCACTTTACTCCTGCAAAAAATGTAGACTCCTAATCTTAGATACCAGGGAAAAGGGGGGGGTGATGCTTTTGTTTTCTTTTATGACAGAAGCAGCAATCTGTGCATGTGTCCTGGTGTTAGTTTCTTCAGAACGGACATTGAACTTAACGGTGCAAATTTACAGAACTCTGCAGCAAGTTCAAGCAGAACCACACTTTATCGACCACAAATTAAGTGCAAACCAAACTTCTTTGCTGAAAATGGATAAACAAATGAGTTTAATGACTTATCAAAACAACACAATAAAATGAGGATTCAGTTCAATCAAAGGGATACCTTATTCGAATCTGTTGGGGTTCAGGTCAACACCAATGATAATTGACGCTCCAGCAATCCTTGCACCTTCTATGGTCTACTCATGCAGATACGCAAGGTAATCAGATGCAAACCCAACAAACATTGAAGTTGAAAGGTATACAATAACGAGAAAATCAACACTTAAAACAAGGTTAACAACTCCTAGGCCAAATGACAGATATCTGAAATCAACTACAAGGCAACCGGCAAAAAACAACTTTGTATTTTTCTGGTCATAGCACATGCATTGTTTTCCTACCCGTAAGCAGGATTTTTCTTTCAGTTAACAGGGATGAGAAATAAAGTTCCATGAACTGGCGTTATCAAATACATATTAGGAAATAAAGTTAAATCATCATGAACTAACATTATTCATTCTTTAAAAAAAACATTTCTGAACTGTGCTATGAAATGAAATCCGACATTAATCTGCTTATTAAATGACCACACCTCTCGTTATCAGTTCTAGCACTTGACTAAGAATAGTCCATTTTTCAAACAATAACCAAAACTATAATTGAATATGCTGACTTCTGGAGCAAGGAATCACATGGTACCAAAAAAAAAAACAATCAGTAGCGCATACAGATTTCATTAACAGTATTATTCACCCAATGAAACTAAATGGTGCAAGAAGATGGTTGGTTACCAATTTATGAACAAGGTAAATAAAAGCTGGCCAATGGTTATCAAATGGATTGCATATTGCAAGATGATAGGGTATATTATAAGTTAAAAAAAAATCAGGGATGTACAAATATGTGGTTGCTTACTGGGATGAAGGAAAACAAGGCATACTTCGACGATCAATTGCTTACTGGGATGTACAGATACGTGGTTTAGTCATTCTATCTAATAGCTTGCATTCACAGGAGAGAAAGAGGACGACAGAGACGGTACATTGACACCATGTATTCAGCTAACTCAAAAGTATGTTGTCTTACTTGAATTTTCGGTACTAAGCCGATTATTTACGCAACATTTATTTTTCAGCGGTTGGAGAATCATTAAACATATAGAAGATCAGAGATTCATAGATCAACCAAGTCCAAAAATGTAACCCGTAACAGATCCCTGGAACCCTGACCCCAAATTTGGCTGCAAGGTTGCAAGCACCGATAAGATATTCAGATAGAAATAGGTAGGGAAACCATCTTCAATACAGGCTACAGAGAACACACCTTGCTCGGTGGCGGAGATGGGGAAGCTCACTGCCTCAGCTTGGGTAGGCTTCACTTCACCCCGGGCAGACGATATCAGTAGGTATTTTTTAGATGTAGAGAATTACAGCAAGATCTGCGGGAGAAGTCCTCAGTTAATTGGTTCTTTCCATATGAGTCACTTCTAATTCCATGTTCCAGTATGGAATCGCAGAATCCACCTAGCATATGTTATCCTAGCACCCATGACTCACTTCTAATTCTATGTTCCAGTATGGAATCGCAGAATCCACCTGGCATATGTTATCCTAGCACCCATGACTGCTTCCCAGATCATACTCCTCAGCAGACCAAGTTGCACTATCCTGTTGACATTCACCAATGTTACGACATCCAGACAATATGAGGTCTAGCATTTTCCTCCGCACAATGTATACAGGGTTAGGCTCAATCAGACATCCTTTACTGTAACTCTCCCTTAGGATGACTGTCTGTGCGCTTCCTTTCGTCGAGATGTAGAAAATGCCTGGATACTTGAGAAGAAATTCTCGCAGGTTTACCTCCATAGCGTACACTCTTCTGAAGCGTGACAATCTCTCAATTGGCATCATCTTTTCGACCGTCAGGCTTAAAAGCTCATGAAGAACACCAACAATGTGTTTCTCAAGCCGCTCCACATTGCAGATCAGATGTGAATCATTCTTCTCATAAGGTGTGGTGTAGGGAAGCCTCTGCCAGTTCTTGAGTTTTTCCCTGAAACCTTTCTCAATCTTAAATCCAGTTGGGAAGTTGATTGGGAAAGCATATTTTGTCTCTGATTCAGCTAGCCATTTTTCTGTGTACTCCCTTTTCCTCCATTCTTCAACCTTAGCTACAGCTAATGCTTCATCCCTAGAGACAAGTGACAGAGTATCTGGGAATTCAAGGGGTAAATCATGTTGATGGTTTGGCAGTATAGAGGACCTATAATCATCAGGAAGCCCAAGTTCCCTTCTTATGAGCCATAACGCGTGCATATTCAGAGTTCCATTCACAGAGAGCATGAGAAGTTTCTTCAGCCGCTGAACTATGTCGACCTCATTCTCCCTGATGACAGCATCTTCCTCTGCGATCAAGTCGGACATCTTCTGTGTGATCTTGCAGCAGTGGTTTTTCTTGACAGGGTGCACATAAATCTGAAAAATGTGGGGATACTTCTTAAGGAAAGCACCGATCTCAATGTTCAACCCAACCTCATGTCTCCACTTTGAGAGAAGTTGGAGAGACGCATATCTGTTCCTCTGCTGAGATATCACCTCATGCAAAGCCAAGGCTAATCTCAAGTTTCTCAGCTGAACCATTAGCTTGTCCAGCCTATGATCCCTTGTTCTTCCCTCGAGACGTGTTCTCGCCGAATCTACAGGCTTTTTCCACCTCCGCTGCACACTACGATTAAAAGGACCATGCTGAAACGGCTCACCCAACGTCCGCGATCGCAGAGAGAGTGCGTGAATGTTTCTTGCCCCAGATATGATCGATGCCATTGTGTATTAAAAGTCCAATCCTAAGAGATATGAAACTGCACCGAGAACCACACGTGCATCTCTAAAGCATTGGCGATTTGCTGGAGCTACAACTGCAAGAAAGAAAGAGATTGGACGCGGAGTCAGTTTTGTAGACAATCAAATGGAAAGCACCAAGTTTGCATGAATACATGTGGGAACTTGATAAGGTTCAGTAAACGAAGAAGAAAAAATAAGGGAAAAAGTCTACTTAACCCCCTAAACTATTGGTGGTTGTCTACTTCACCCCCTCACCTATAAAACCAGGTATTCTACCCCTTAAACTATTGAAAACCGTCTAAATAACCACCTAAAGCAGTTTTAAAAGTGGGTTTTCGCTGACGTGGCATATTAAAAGGTCTACATAACCCCCTAACATATCAAGGGTTGACTAAATAACCCCCTCAACTATAAAACCAGATATTATAGCCATTGGTATATCTAATAATGTTCAAATGACCCCGTGATAGTCTAGTAGGGCCGTTTGGACATCGTATCCCACCACACTGGCCTATGCACCCATACTTGCACGTAGGCCTATTGGCTGCCTCTCTCTCCCTACTCTTTCTAGGATTACGGCACCGCCCGATGAGCACCATCATGTCTCCTTCACCTCATGGCACTCCTCGACGGCATTGAGTTCATGCACTATGCCTACACCCTTGTCAATCGAGGATAGCCTGATGGAGGATGTGGGAGGGGCCAGATGATGAGGGTGTAGGCATGGTGCTTGAGCTCAATGTCATCGATGAGTGTCGGGAAGTGGAGCAAGAGACAAGATGTCACGTGCTTCTCGTTGGGTGGTGGGTTAGCCTAGAAAGAGTTGGGAGGTGCAGGTAGAAAATGTGGCATGCGCACAAGCATAGGTGCTTAGACCAATGTGTCAGGATACGGTGTCCAAGCAGACCTACAAGACCATCCAAGGGGGTCATTTGAATATTATTGGATACTTTAAGGGCTATAATATCAGATTTTATAGTTGAGGGGGTTATGTAGTCAACACTTAATACGTTAGGGGGTTATGTAGACTTTTTAATATGCCAAGTCAGCGAAACCACCTTCAAAACCGCCTTAGGGGGTTTATTTAGACGGTTTTCAATAGTTTGAGGGGTAGAATACCTGGTTTTATAGGTGAGGGGGTAAAGTAGATAACCATCAATAGTTCGAGGGGGTGAAGTAGACTTTTTACAAAAAAGAAGCCATGTCGATGGCGTGTAGAGACATGGAAGTGTAACTCATAGGAAATTCGAAAAATTCAAGAATGTTCATAGTCAGGGGCAAGCAGGTGTAAAAAAAAGATACCTGGAGGGAGTTATTACTGCGGTAGCCAGTGGGCATTTCATCAAACAACGACCC